AGTAAATTTAGTTAACACGAAAGAAAGGTAAAAATAAGAACTGGGGAAGAAGTAGAGGCTAGCCTGTGAAATTCATACGTCTATGCTAAATCTCCTAATATTGTACGTCCACACTATTTTTTAGCGTTGCGTCCTCTCACTTATATACTCGTATCAAGCATTTAGAAATTGATCGCATTCCTCAATCTGTGTCCCCTTTCACTGTTCCTATTTGCTTCGCTAAATTCCGTTCCTTACCGAATGCAAATATGGTTTAAACTACTCAACCGAAGAAAGTAATCATGCACACAAATTCTATATAGAAGACACTCAACGAAGCTTCAAGGGGGATATTCAAAAACCAAGGCTCATGCACTTGCATATATTATTTGCAAAGACATAAAATCCAATAAACAAACCATCCAAAATAACCATGGGAAGAAAAATTTACGGTGCTGCACCTGCTTAAGATCTTGGCGAGACAAATTCGACATGGAGAAAAATGTAATGGCATCACTCCCTGTAAGTCGGCCATCACCATCTGAGAATTCCAAGGGGAAAGCGAAATCAGCAATCGCAAAATCGTATAAACGTACTCACAGTTAAAACCCAAGAAGCACCAAGAGCGAAATCCGAAGGGAAAAACAATCGTACCCGAATCAGCATGATTGAACCACTCTTGATAGATCTTCTGGTGTTCTTTAGAGACTGAACTAATGGGCAACGTATCGATCTCCATTCTCAGGGTCCTGCTGATTGGCCAAGATCTCAAATTTGGGACCTTCCCTCGATACTAATACGAAAGAGGAATACTAGCGTGATGCGCGGAAAACTTGTAAATCATGATACTAAAAGCTCTTCACGTAATTTTTGAACTACATCTAACAGCCTATATTCATCTTATCACATCATAATATTTAGATTTCTCAAGGCAAGTAAGTGGATGGCACAATTGCACTTGTATGATTTGATATGAATAACTCAGCAGTGATCTATACCTCAACGCAAGCATAAAAATATTAACTCGTCATTCTATGCTCGTTCAAAAAGTTGATACACACATTGATGTGAATTAATGATTGATTGATTGATTCGCCTATTTCGGGGAAGGAATAGAGAATTACAACAGAACCTGGGCCCTGGGTCGATGAAGAATCCACTGACGGTGTCGTATTGGATCCTTGAGGCGGATGGGCAACAAGAACTCAAAAAGAACGAGCCTTTCCTATTGAGGCGAGGCTACAGAGAGTAGTATTGGATAATGGATTTTCCTGTGTTGATGTGAAGCGTCACGCTTTTTCACCAGAATGCGCCAAAAGAGGAAGACGAGATTGCTTATTTGAGTCTGACTCGCTATGTGCAGATGGCGTGGCAACTCGTTAATCCGAACATGGATGCGCATTAATTGCTTTGACTCTTCAAAGATTTTATGTCAAGCTTAAACTATATTTTTAGTTTTTTAATTTTATATAATATTTTATTTTAGTCTTTTAATTTTAAAAAGTAAATTTTTAGTTTTTTAATTCTAAAACTATTAATAAAAAATAATGATATTGAGTTTTTAAATATTGATAAAATATTACTAAATGCTACTATATTAAGTTTAATTTTCAAAATAACAATGATTGTTATAAAAATCATCATTTAAGACTAATAATTTTAGAGTTAAAGGACTAAAAATATACTTTTTAAAGTTAAGAGATCAAACTAAAACTTTACATAGAGTTAAAGAGCCAAATAAATACTTTAGCTTCTTTCAAATTTATTTTTTTAATATTTTATCACAGTTTCAGTTACTTGAATTTTACCCGATGACACTTCCAAATAACTCCTGAATTGCCGCATAAAATATAGGTACATTGTATATGAGTTTGAATTGAAATTAAAATCTAAAATTGCATGATTTTGTGGAAGACAAGTTGGAGATTATGCAGATGTGGCTTCCTCCCAGTTAGTGGAGAGACCACTTTGTATATAAATCATTGTAAAATAAGGGTTGTACCAATTTAATCGAGTTCAAACTTTGATAATGTAGCATTATTAAATCATGAGAAAATTATACTCAGGCTCACAGAAGACAATTAATTTCAAAAAAGTCCCTAGAATCCCGAAATGATTTCTAAATCCCCAGAGACCTATGTGTAATTAATTGTAATTGTGAAATTACCTATTTACCCCCATTAATTTAAACCCAATGTAATTCATTTACAACCTCAATAGTGACTGTTGACAACTCAAGAAGAGATGGTTAACAACCTCAGTAATGCCCCTAGCATCCCACAGAGTGAGTTGTCAGGAGCACTGTCGAGGTTGTCAACCACTTCTTCTCGGGTTGTCAACAGCCACTGTTGAGGTTGTAAATGAATTGCTGCAATAAAATTAATAGGGTAAATAAGTAATTTCACAATTACAATTAATTACACACAGGTCCTTGGGGACTTCAGAATCATTTCGGGATTTCTAGAGACTTTTTTGAAATTAATTATTTTTTGTGGGACCTGAGTGTAATTTTCCTTTAAATCATTGGTGGTAGAGATCTGTTGCTCTTGGAGCCTTACCTGCCTTAATCTGAATTAGTTTAGTCCTTCCATTAATCTTTCAAGTTAAACTGAAGTAGATATAAGAAACTGGATGCCCAAAAAAAGCTTGAAGGATTTTCTGATTAAGATCAGTAATATGAGCTGTTCAGATTTTGCATTGAAAGCACAATGGAAAGGAACCAAGTCTGAGATTACACAAATATGGAAATTGGGAAGATCTTAGGATCTAATGTGTTACAAAATAAACTATGCTCTCAAAAAAGACGAAGCAGATATGGAAATTTGGCCCTTAAGATCATTTGGCGCAAGACCTAATTTCAGTTGGCGCACATGCTGACTTGGGATGCATTTCTTATACAAAGTTTTCCAAATGTTTAGTTATTCAACCACTATATATGTTTCAGGCAAAAGGGAAAAACAAACAAAGTAATGAAATGATACAAGAAAGAGAGAAATAAATAAAGAAAAGTTGTGTTGCGAAATCTATTTGAAAATAAATTCCAAGTGATGATCTGGGCAGCGGAGAAAAGTTGGTATTAGAATTTCGTTTTTCTGGCACCACAATTTCGCATGACATTATTTGGAACCAATCGGAAGGGGACAAGATATGCCTATTTTTAGTGTTTTTCTTTAGTTTTGTTCATCATTGTCATGATCTAGATGTTTTGGATCGATCATTTGTTTAATTCATCTGGGCTTCGTTTAAATTGACCGAATATGGCTATGATTGACAGGTCTTTTTTTGTAATCATTTTATTTTTTCATGTTCAATAAAATTTTCTTTTGTATATGCGTATTTTTTAGGAAAAATTGCAAAAAAGACTGCCAGAATAGAAAAATTATAAATAGGGATCCGTTAGAACATTAGTATGAGTTTTGACAATAATTTTTGTAAGCGGATCTTTGTGTACAATTTTTCAATTTTGGTGGTCTTTTTTTGAGATTTTTCCTATTTTTTATTTGTTTGTTAAGATATATATACATATATACATACACATATATATATATAACTTTGATCTCTTATAGGAAGATTAGTTTTTAATATAAGTTATAACCCCATTAACGGATTCCCCCAACAAACCCACTTTTTTCCCACCTCTTCATTTGGTCTTAGAATTTGATGTCTTATATTAAGAAAGCTTTAACTTTATAAAGTTGGGATAAGTAATCTGTAAGTTCTTATAGTTTTAACTAATTTTGAATCAGGTTCCTATAATTTTTTTTCTTTTTATCAGGTCCTTATACTTTCACCTATTTTTAATTAGGTCTTTGTATTTATTTTTCTTTTTATCAAGTCCTTATAAGATTACCTTATTTTTAAGTAAGCCCCTGAATTTTTTATTCTTTATTTTATAAATTCTAATAGTACTATTCTATGAACATAAAATAGTATATATTATGTAATATTAGTTTATAAACAATAATATTCTAAAAATAATGAATTATTATTATAATTTTATTTTTTTAGCAAAAAAATTAATTGTTCTAAAAATTTTTCCTTAATTAATTAATTATATTACTTATCTTTTATTATATAATTATTAATATTTTATATTTCAGTATTAATTTATTTAATTAAGTTTATATTTAATTAATAAATAAAAATTAAAACTAGATGGACCTTATTAAAATTTTAGTGAAATGATAAGGACTTAATAAAAAGAAAAATAAATGCAAGGACCTAATTAAAAATAGATGAAAGTATAAGGACCTGATAAAAAGAAAAAAAACTATAAGGATCTAACTCAAAATTAGTTGAAACTATAAGGACTTACGGATTACTTAACCCTATAAAGTTTTACAGGGGGTTCTATTAAATTTTAAATTTCAGATATTGAAATTGTAATTATATATCATGCATAGTGTGCGTGTTTATGGATATGTAAATGTATATGTTGTGTGTATAATATTGGTAAATAATAGCCTAATATATACTCTTTCTGTTCTAAATATAAGATCCCTTTTAACCATTTTTATAATGTAAATTACACTATAAAAGAAGTCTTATATTTAGAACCGAAGGAGTATATATATATATTTCCTTTGGTCCTTGTTAGAGGTTATTTTTGAAAGGTTTCTATGGTGCTATTTTAGAGCCCTTTGCAAATACTGTGGCATTAATTTTTTTTCCCCAGATTTCTTTATCATTCGTTATTTTCCATACTGGAGCACTTAGTGTGATTAATTAAGTGGAGAGATTTTATTCAAATAATTAAAAAATTAATTAGATTTACTAATTTTAAGTGAATTTCTTAATGCGTGTAAGTAATTAAAAATGCCCTATGAGATTAGTGTGGTTTGGGCTTCAGGTGAAAAAAAAAATTTTTGGGCTTCAGTTAATTGGGCTAAAACATAGAATAAAAAAATAACCTATAACCCAAAGAAACTGAAACGACCAGTCGTTTCGATAGAGATTTTTCCTCTGCGCAGGCCAACCCTTGCCTGTTAATCCTGCCCATCGTTCAAATCGCAGAGCATAGATCTGTGCTTCTCGCTGTCATCCTCTGCGTCTCGAGTTTTGACTCATCCGCAACTGTACCTGACACCGTCCAGGGCCGCTCCGATCAGTTCGCGTTACCGCCGGCTCTCTTTTACTGTACAGGTTTGTTCTTTTATCCTCTCACTACACCTCTTTCGATTTTCTCGTGCAGCCCTACTTGATCTTTTGATATTTTCAAATTAGATCTTCAGATTTCGTCACCACTTCCTGCTTCTTCGCAGCTTTTACAATCTTCCCTTTCATCAATCTAAAAATTCTGATTCTTCCTGCCTTTTCTCCTCATTTCTTCCGATTCAACTTCTATTGAAGGGTTTTCCACGCATGTGCTGCTCTTGGCTTTGCTTCTCCTGGGAATTTTTTCTCTTTTTTTCTGTGGATTGTTGAAATTTTTTATTTTATACGAGGTGGTAATTAAGCACTGATGGTCGGAAAAATATTTTTCATGTCATAATCGTTGAATACAATGTAGAAATGGTCGAGTTTTACTCAATTCTTTTCTCTTGGGCCCAGGGTATTCTTCTCGGTTTTAAACTCTGGGTTTGTTTTTGTCCCTCCTAGGTTGGACCAGGGTTTATTTTTTAACATGAGCCTGTATTATGGGTATTATAGTTTGATTTCATGTTAGTTCTAACATTATAATCGTATGTGAGTTGTTAATTGAAGCTTGAGTAGTTGCGCTTGCACTGGTGAAATCTACTTTATGTTAAGACTTTTTTTTCTTCAGTTGCACTGTACTTCTATACTTGGGACAGCGATCTGCCTTTACTATCTAGATTGGATCGAATCTTGTGTCAATGGATCAATGACTTCAACCTTGCTATTGTTTATTTGATTATTTATTGTATTGTTTCATGACAAGTTTCTTGAAATTGGGTGGAACAATTGGCAGAAGGATCGTTTTTCCTGTTTTCTTTTATGGGATATTTGTGTGACTAACTGTCCCTATATGCATGTTAACAGAAATATGCCTTCTCAGAAGGTTGAAACTGGTCATCAAGACACGGTTCATGATGTGGCAATGGATTACTATGGTAAACGGCTGGCTACAGCCTCATCTGACCACACCATTAAGATAATTGGGGTGAGCAACACAGCCTCTCAACATCTAGCAACCCTGACTGGACATCAAGGGCCTGTATGGCAGGTAGTATGGGCTCACCCTAAATTTGGGTCTCTTCTTGCTTCGTGTTCTTATGATGGTCGTGTCATTATATGGAAGGAGGGCAATCCAAATGAATGGACTCAAGCTCATGTGTTTGATGACCACAAGTCATCAGTTAATTCAGTTTCTTGGGCGCCTCATGAGTTAGGTCTTTGCTTGGCTTGTGGTTCATCTGATGGTAACATCTCTGTTTTCACTGCAAGAGCAGATGGTGGCTGGGACACTTCAAGAATTGATCAAGCTCATCCTGTTGGCGTTACATCTGTTTCATGGGCCCCCTCAACAGCACCTGGTGCTATTGTTGGCACTGGCTTGCTTGACCCTGTACAGAAGCTATGCTCTGGTGGCTGTGATAATACTGTAAAGGTATGGAAACTCTACAATGGCGTTTGGAAGATGGACTGCTTTCCTGCTCTTCAGATGCATACAGATTGGGTACGAGATGTTGCTTGGGCACCAAATTTGGGGCTTCCTAAATCTACAATTGCTAGTGCATCACAAGATGGTAAAGTCATTATATGGACAGTGGCGAGGGAGGGAGATCAGTGGGAAGGCAAGGTTTTATATGATTTCAAGACCCCAGTTTGGAGGGTATCATGGTCATTGACTGGAAATATATTGGCTGTGGCCGATGGGAACAATAATGTGACATTATGGAAGGAAGCAGTAGACGGGGAGTGGCAACAGGTGACGACAGTGGAGCCGTAGAATCGTAATTTTGAAGTCTTGTTGATTTGGGATAATGGTTAGAATTTTCTCTTTTAAAGTCTAAGTTACATATACAGTTGAGTAATTGTGCTTCATGATCCTTGGTTCCTTCGACTCTGTGATCCTTTGAACATTCTGTGCTTGAAAGAATGAAGTTCTATAGTTTGAGTTGTTTTCTTTTATCAGTTAGAACATTTACATTCAGTGATACAATATGACATTTCTTCTTTTCACGCAAGTTGCATAAAATGTGGCCGTGAAACTCAATCACAATTATTAATACGTATCTGGATTCAGGAGCTTAAATTTTTTTTTTTCCCAAAGAAAAAACGGCACTTGCCTGCAATTTTGCCGTCTCAACTTTCTCTGCATGTTGGACTGAGTTCAAAAGAAGTTGGCGAATGGTTTCCTTAATTATAATGAAATTCAGCTTATGATTTCTGCATGTGATTCTTCGACTGGAAGTCTCATGATTGTTTGAGTTTTTTAAATGTGCATGAAGCTAATTTCATTGCTGTATGCCAAGTTTTGGAATATGAGACATAGAATGAAGAATAAGTTCTCTACACCGCATGGACCTCAAGGGTGACTTTCCATTATGTTTTAATTCTAACGGATCGTTTGCTTTATTGTGTTCCATAAAAATGAACAGTTGTTTCCTGTGGTGTGGTGTGTGATAGCAGTTTCTCCTTATGGTGCGAAATTATTTGACAGCAGAAAAAGAAGGAAATAAAAGCCTTTTATTTCAACATGTTATTTGCAATTTTATTGCATGATGATGATAAGCTACAAGCCCAAGACTGATTAAGATGGCTAAGATTGATAAGTAGAGATTATTTCCTCTGAGATGTATATACCGTGGCTAAAAGTTCTACTGAGATTATGAGGATTCAATTGTTTCTGCCAGTGAATTCAAAGATATACCCTCTGCATATGAACAGAGGTTTGGATGTCACCGTTAACTTCTTGCATAAGAGAGCTAACAGATTTGCATATACATTAGCTACATATTCATGTGTATCAGAAAAGGGAAGGCATCTCTTTTTTTTTTTTATTTCTATTTTTTTTGGGGGGGGGGTTGGGGTGGGGAAGGGGCCCTTGTGAATCAATATGTGGAGATAATATTTGATGACATAGAAGTCTAACAAGAAGAGGACATTTGTACATGATCGGATAGCCAGGCAAGCCCTGATAATTTATAATTCCAACTCAACGATCTCTCTCTGTTTTTTTTTTTTTTCTCAAAACCTTCAAAAGGACATTAAAGAGAAGGGGCAAAACATGGAAAAGAAGTAAACGTGGAAAATGGGCGCGATCAAGAAAAGGAACCAATGGTTTTGCCGAGTAGCCATAGAACAAGAGACAGCTGAATTCCGAAAATGGTGTGAAGTGTGCTCCTATCCAACATGAATCCAAACATCGTTATCCCTGCTCTGTTATTCTCGAAGTAATTCACTGCAGCCATGAATAAAAGCAAATTATTATGTCACTTTTATGTTCAAACACAAACAGTTTCAAAACGGCAATAAGAACAATGATTCTTTTGATCATGTAATGTGTGACTTGATGATTTCTTTCCCCTTGATGAAAGAATCAGTTTGATATTTTCAAATGAAACTGTACATTTATGGGGGGGGGAATACTAGCAAATGTCCATTTCTTTGTTTTTGAAAATTGTAACTAAATAGTTAAGGAAATTAAATTAATATTATATTCAGTCCATAACATAGGAGCTAGCTGAAGTTAAGTTTAATTCTAAATATAAGATCTCAATTTATTTTGTTTTTTATAATTGTTTTTCAAACTATTTGTATTGATTGCACATTAATGTTAAATGAATTGGCATTAAGAACAGCTTTTATGCAAATTATTAAATGGGGAGTTTTAGGAAGATTAGCACATATTTTTTTACAAATAATTAATTTAATTATTTTATTTAACTGAAGTAAATTTTATACTCATCCAATCTTTAATGTATGATCTAATTATTGAGTTAATTTTAGTCCTAAATATAAGATTCAGTTCTCATATTTATCAAATTTTTTTAAATTATCCCTATTAATGTTCCCTTAATCATAATCAAGTAAGAGAGGATGAGAGAATATTAAGAAAGATGATTATAGTGTTTTATGAAAAACATGTCACATTTTTTATAATTAACTAATCAACCTAATTTTATTAATCTAATTAAATTAGTTAAATAAGTTTTAAATTAATGAAAGGAGGAATATTATTAAGAATGAGACTTAGCATTAATTTAGTCATAATTAAGTATTTCCACCGAAAACATCAGCTGAGCTGTCCTCAAAGTTAACAAAACGACAAGTTTGCCCCACGACAACAACAAAGCGAAAGGGTTTAATTACGTAAAAGGAAATAGGAGAGAGGAATAATTTGGTCTGACGGGCATACCTAAAGCTTGTCTCTTTTGGTATGAGATCGTGCTGCGGGCGTATGTTGGGATTAATCTGGTAGTATTAATCTCACATTCTTCGTCTCCTGGATCATCATCAGCTTCCGATTCTCCATCAGTCCCCACCGCCGGATAGACTCTTTCACATGCAATCTGAGCCGTCGGTGTCTCCCCATCTACCCCCCACCCCATCAAACGCATCTAACGTGGCACACGCGTGCCACTTGGCAGCAAGCCCTGTGATCGCTTGTGCTTTGTGTGTGATCTTTGTCGCACTCCGCAGCAAGATTAACAGCGCAGAAAGTAGTGTCACGGAGCACAGCTGCACCAAATCATAACGCAAACATGTTAAATAATTGAGGAAAAACAACTTATATTTTACAACTTCGTACAGCACAGAAGGATAACTTGTTGATCATGAGTAATGACAGTTGTGTGTTTACTTTCACGCAATTTCTAACTAAATTTAAATAAATGCCTTTATTTGCCTTTTGTAATTTTTTTTGGGTCCAGAATTTGCCTTTTGTAATTATACATAAAATTATTCATTATTTCTTTTGCAACAATTATAGTCGGAAGAATTGCTATGAAATTATAAATAAAAAAAACACATTGCTAAAAGATCCAGGTGACAACATGACAACCTACAATGATAAGTTTCCGGTAATAAATAACAACCTCTTAAAATACTTTTAGTTACTTAAATTTATTATATCAAGCTGCATAATCACATATAATGATGTGTTTTATTTTTTTATATAAATTTATGGTTTAATAATAATATTTTAAAATATGAAACATATGTAACTAAATAAGTTAACATAATAAATATAAGGAATTTCATCTAAACATTTTATTATTATTATTAGTATAAAAACTTATTGAGGCACGAAAATCTAGTTAAAAAGAGAAGGGGCGTACGTACCGCAAGTTCACCAGTTTTGTAAATGTTAAGGTCCCTAGAAGATCTGGTGGTGAGGAGGAGGCTAGCAAACTGGCTACCGGTGACGAGGATGAGGGACCACAATATGAACGCCCTAAATCGGTGGCTGATTATACGGAGATGCCTCCGGATTCGGAGGTGTTCCGACAGCACTGACTCCACGTCGGAGTCCATGTGGAACACAGAAGCGAAGTCCTTTAGCCGTAGGATTTGGAGGTGACAGATCAGACGGAAAAGGACGCACACCAGGAAGATCACCGTGGTGCGGTACAGCCACGAGAGCAGCTCCATCACGCATGCTACTGCGTCACTCAAGTAGACGTTTCCTAGGAATGGGATTTGCGACGCTCCTGACGCATACCACCATATCTTGTATGCGCTCTCAGCTATGAGGCACGGGATCACAAATACTGAGAGAATCTTCAGTGATCTCTGTAAAATAAGATGTACACAAGAAGTCAGTTTAATTACACACCGAGAAAAATGCAACATTTTAATTCATGACATGTGAATAATGTAATTTATTATAAATTTTATTATACTACCTCCAATCTTAATTATAAGAACCAGTTGACTAATTTAAAGAGATTAAAAAAGTAAGTTGAGTTAGTTATTTGTCCTAAATAGGTGTTATCTTTCCTAAAATATCCTTACTAATCAAGTGTATTGACTAGAACTATCATTGTTAGAAAGGTTACTTTGAAAAATATATATATATAAATATGAGAGACAAAGTGGATTGGAATCTTATATTTAGGACCAAAATAAAAATTAAACAGGGTCTTCTATTAAGAACCGGAGGAAGTATATACATAAATATTAAATATTGATATTATTCATCTGTAACACTTTTGGATAGAAATTACTCGTTTGAAAACATAACTATAATGGAATAAACAGGGGAACGGATTGCTGTTTTATTTATTGAAATTGACAGGAAGAAGATTGCAGGAATATTTAAAATTAGTAATATACACACAATCTAAGGAAACCAAGCAAAATGAACGGTCCAGCTATGAGATTTTTGTCTTCCTATAATATATAGACTACTAATTGATTTAGTAAACAATGATAGTACTGAAAAAATTAGTACTTATACTTAAATGGACAATGCTTGAATACACATAAGAATTAACTAAGACCAAAGGAACGAAATAACAATCACATCCAATGAATTTAATAACATTTGAATTCTCACGGAATCAGTTCCAATCCACTGAATGATCAATTGACGCACACATCTCCTAGCTCTCCCCTATTAAAGTGGGGCCACCACCACAATTTGTCCCAAGAACAAGCACATGATCACGATTATTCGATTATCAGATGGGTTTGATGAACTTTTTTATGACCAACTCAATGGAGACAAGTTTTCTTTTGATTTATTCTATATTTTTCAATACAAGTATATATAATTATACTCAAAAAAGACTACAGACATCGCTAATAGGAACGAAAATGACACACAATTAACTGAGCATATGTCAAAATCAAGTGCATTTATTTTGTTCGTTCTCTGTGAATCATGATGAATGCAATCAATTCAAGTACCAGTGGATGTTTCCCAAATCATAGTATTTCCCGCAAGTTGGGTCTATCATTCATCTACAGAAGATCGGGGAAAAAAGAAAAAAAGAAAAAGGCAACAATAATTATTATTATTTTTTTGGCCGGAACATAGCATTTATTCAACAGCAGATAGTTGAATGGGGAACTTATAACTATCAATTATGCAAAATTGCCTTGTGAATTTCGACCAAACGAGTAGGCTCTGTTTTATATTGTTCATGTCCACTAAGAAAAACCTCCCCTGAATTTATTCTTTCTGCCTGTTCATAACCACATATTATATTGTACTATAGTCAATGGAACTGGAAGCGATTCACCAACCCTAGCTTGGCAGGGTAAAATACAGCTTTGAAAGTGATTTTCCATAGGTTGGCTCCATAATCTGGATCTCTATTAATATATTTCGTGGACAATTCAAATTTCGATTTCTATCCGCCAAATTCATCATTACAAGATGCGCCAAAAATGATCCAGAGGTTCCTCTTCCTCTGTTTCCATAGCTATCACAAGGTCAAAACACGTAGAACAGGAAGAAGTGTTCATTTTCGTATTTAAAACTGAAAAGGGGGAAAAGAAGGAAGTAGCGTAACAGAATGAAAAAGGAATTCTCGAGATGCTTCTAAATCTCAATGGTATCATATTAGCAAGTCATTCAAAGATCGATGAACCAAAAAGTCATTAGAAGATCAGAAACTTGCAGAACAATCGAGAAAGAAAGGCATGGATGAGAAACTCACATTGAGCTGCCCGGTGTAACTGTTCCTCACGGTCTCGCTCTCATCACAGAGCCGATCAAAGAACAAGAACCTCCGAAGGCCAAACTTCTTCACGAACCTCGACAAGCAGATGAAAGACAGAGAGGCGACGCTACTGAGCGATAATTGCACAATGGAGTCGTACGGCCTGGAGTGCTTGGCATCGCAGCCAGGGCAGGCGAGGAGGAAGTGAGAGATGGCGGGGACGATAACGGCGAAGAGGAGGAACATCGACCACGACACCAACGCCGTCCAGACGTTCGATTGGTCGACGCACATCCAGCGGAGGTAGGTTCGGAAGCTGTGAAGCTCGTCGTAGGCGTGGGAGACGCTGCGATTGTACTTGGAAGTGATGGCTCGAGAGCTGAGCAGAGGCTCGCCATTGTCGTCCATAGCCATGGCGATGGACGGTTTGACGGTGGAGCCGATCGGAGAATCGAGAGCTGAGCTTTGGAATGGAATCAAATGAATGCGAATAAACAGGGGAAATGGAAATAAAAGTAGACAAGGGATCGAAGATTTGAAGCTATTTTATGCGGTTTTTTCAATTGATGTGTGATGGTATTTTTCTGGAACCGTTTTGGCCAGATAGGAAGGAATGAAGTGGCGTGTTCTGATTGGTTTTGGATGTGAGAAAAGGAAAAAATTTGGTAGGGTCACATGTTAGCTGTTGTTTTCTTGTTCTCTGTCAAGTATAAAATAAACCATCTAAATAAACCATTTCCATCTTTAAAACTATCTACTATTTATTAATGGGTAATTACATTGAGTGGAAATTATTCTATTTTCTTTAAAAAAACCAAGGGTTAAAATATTGTGGGTTAAAAAAATTATGTTGTGAGATTTATTCTAATTAGGTATTAATACTCAAACTTGACTTGATATAGTAGATTGTTTAGATAATTGTGTAAAAAGAAAAATAAATCTCTAATAAGTAGATTAGTTGATATCTATTTTATCTTTTTAGTAAAATAAAATAAAATGGAAGTGAGTTAGACCCATGAACTTATCAAAGTCAGTGTTTAAAGTATAAATTCAAGGTGCTTATGAAAATATTTATATATTACCACTAATAAGATTCTCAAATCGGTTACAGGATTTTAATATAATATATACATTTTATTGTAGATAAATTGATCTTATTACCAATGCAATTTTATAGTCTGTAAACTTTTTTTTTGGGCCAACTTCATAATTTGTTAATTAATACAGTATTATCAGGTGATAAAATATTACGTGATCTAATAATAATTTTTTATTTGGGGGCACATGAATTCTAATAATATGATACTATGTAAATATATAAATAATATCGCACATTAAATTTTAAAGAGAATGCTGGTACATTTTGTCAACATCTCAGACCTCACACGTATCTTTTTGTGGTAATGTTCATTTCATAGTTTATTCATTAAGGAGCACCGCTCTTCAACAAGTAAACACCATACAAAATATAAAATACAAATTAAATAATTTTTTCTTAAATAATATTCTGGTAACTAAACATGAAATATTTAAACAAAATTTAAATAATTTTAAAATACACACCCTAAAATTTTATATATATATATATATAATCAAGTCAACACTCAGAGAGCCACATGGCAGGTTATTTCTCTTTATTTGTGACTCATCTGGTCCTTAAGATAAGGTATAATTGATTAGTTTGAGTATATTAAGAATATTAGTTAAATTAGTTAATGTGATATGTTTTTTTTAAAACATCCTAATCATTTTTTTAATTCCTTCCCTCTCTCTTCTACTTGATTATTATGACGAAAATATTAATAGAGTTAATTTTTAAAAAATCAATAAATAAGTGAAATAGGTCTTATATATAATATTAATATCAATTCTCAAATCAGGTTTTATGTTAAGAAATGGAGGAGTATTTTCATTCTTTCCTTTTCTTTCAACTTGATAACGTGGATTCTCTACCCATGACTTCCTATAGGACCTATACTATTATATATATTATTATATTAATATTAATTTTTTTTTGTTCATCGACAATAAAACAAAACCAAGGGTTCCTAGCTGGCTGAACCTCGTTTATGAGATCTACTTCTTTTGGCCTATTAGTCGTAATCATTGTAATTAATCTGCGGCGATTGAGAAGTGCTCAAACGCAAGGTTGTGATTTGTGAGTTAAGGGACAGAATGGCAGCTATCTTAAATTTAACATTAAAACTTGCGTAAGATTTTGTAAGCTGCTAATGAAGTTTGATTGATCTTGACAGGAACCTACTTTCCTCCTTTATCTAAATATCACTTCGTTTTAGTTTTAAAAAAAAAAAAATCTAGGGTCCAAAATATAAGCAAGCATCGAGTACTATATATATCATGAAATTCTTATAATTTGCAAATATTCTTACCCATTACAAATGCTTATTTCGGAAATCAACAAATAGAAAGACTTTAATTATCAAGGTTAAATTTATTAAAAAAATTTAATTCGTAATGAAAACTAGCTTTAACTAATTATCTTTTTTGATATGAGTGATAAGTAATTATAAGTTACGTTTATGCCTGAGGATATATAATTTTAATTTGTGTGTGTTTGACATATATATCATGTCTAAGTAAGACTACATTGATGAATAACAATTTCAAAAACTGAGAATTCCTTCGGGGAAAAAATAAAGGCCAGAGTTCGATATGATTTTGCTAAAACTATTTCGTTATTTTCTAATTTCTTGGCAATCTTAAATTTAATTACAGTTTATCCAACGGAAATGGATCAGCTTAAGTACATTTTTTCCTAAAATATGTTTAAAGTGTGGTATTTTCAGCCGTTGGATTGAATGATGGTGCTGATTTTGCCGGAGAAATATATAGACATACATTCGTATTCTTTTAATAGTTGGATAATACTCCTCAGTATTTAACGTAAAATCCAATTAATTAATTTGTAAGTACTTTCTCCGATCCTATTTATAAGTTTTGAATTTGAGAAAGGATGTGGTTTATTTTATAAACTTCAATTTAGGTTTATCTTAATATTTGATATTTTTTTTTCAATGTTACTTTTAATTATTTCTCTCTCATCATATTTTCTCACACATTTTCTTTCATCTTTTTTCTCATTTATTATAAGGGCATATCTGAAAATAAAAATATATTTTAAACCTATTTATTATTTTTAACTAATTTTAATTAATTATTCATTATACTTGAATTAGTTATTTGAAGTTTATAATAATAACCAAAAGAGGTATATAGCAATGATCACTCATGAATAATGTGAAAGAAGGTTATAATTATAAATGTGGGCAAGAATTGAAAATGATAATTAAATTTAAGACACACGCCCAAACCAGACTTTAAATAGATACCAAGTTTGAGAAGAATTATCTGTGGGGAGAAAAAAAGAAAGACCAACAATGGAATATAAATAAATGACATTTTAGCAGACACCAATGGATAAAACCTTTGATAATGCTTACATCCTTATTCATAATTCAGATTGATCTATTAATTTTTATTTATTGATCAAATCTTAAACTTTTGCCTCTAGCAAGCAATTATTAACTAGTTACACCGGGACATGGGTTCTGATCTTACAGCCAAAAGAACACGATTCGGCTGTTTCCATATTTTCTTTATTTTTTAAAAAGTTGACATTACTTTTTTTTTCCCCCCTTATCTTGTATATTCTAAAATTTAAAGAAAAAGTAAAATAAAAAATATATAAAGTACATCTGTACCATCCAAATTAAATTTGGATGGTTGAGATTTGCAGAACCGGTAGAGTTGTTGAGATTTGCAGAACCGGTAGAGAACCTGCTATTTCCACCGCAGCTAGCAGATCTGAACCCAATCCTACCACCACCAACATCGTACACAACCTCGATTGTTTTCTGTTGAACATTTCCAAGAATAGCAATATCCACCAAGTGTTCATTCGTAGCAAACGCCAAACACACCTGCGTTTCACTCACCACATACACAACCCCACTGGCGTCCAGATTCACATTCACTCCCCCTCCAAACGACAATGTCACCTTCGGAATGACAACAGTTTCGTACCCGCTCAAATCGTAACACGTGTCCAACTCTGCAAACGAACCTGCCATCGGGTACTTCGACATCGCGTTCCGGAACGCGTCTCTCAGGGGGCCGTACGCCGCCTGAGGTAGCCACGTGAGGACGGTACCGGAGTCGATTAACACGCGGAAAGAGGAGAACACCGAGGAGGGGATCGATAGACTGGCGCCGGCGAGGGAGATCCCGGTGAGGTCGAGTGCGTAGACGGAGGAGCTCTGCGGGATGGAAGAAAACGGCGTGTAAATGATGTTGTCGGAGGCGGGTACGCCGCCGAAGGTGAGGTAGCCAACTTCGCTGGCGGTGGAAGGGATGCAATAGGAGAAGATTCTGTGGAACATGTCTGAAGTTTGTTGGACAAAGGAGATGGGGTTGCGGCCGAGGCCGAGGAGGCCGGCGGTGCCGTTGAATAGACCCTTGTTATCATGGCCGCAGCCGAAGAGGAAGTTGTCTACGACGTGGGTCTGAGTAATTGTTAGTGTTTCGTTAGCCAAGTTTCCGGTGGAGGAGGACCCGTCAGCGTATTTAGTATGGTAAAGGCAACCGTCTGCTGAACATTTCTGCTCAATTCCTACATTATATATTATTAACAGTTATCATAGAAATGAGAAAAATAGTGAGAAGCCAAGGACATGGATGTTGAATTTACGTTTAACATCATGTATGTGATGGTGTTAATGAGTTCTAAATTATCTGAGATATGGTCTTGTTTCTTTTAGCTGGGAGACCTTAGGATGACATTAGCAAAATATCCGAAAATATATAGTACAGGTGTAAAACATGCAACTTTTACCACGTATAAAATAAAAATTGGGAAAATCCCAAAAAAAGTCCTTGCAATATGGAAAATTCTAGATTAGGTCCTGGAATTTCGGAAATGACAGAATGGGTTAGTGATCCAATATGTCATTTGTCAAATTAAGAGGAATTGACAACTTTGCCCTCATTTGCATTCATTCACTACAATGATTTAAGGAATCACTATAAGGGTTTAGGTGTTGCCTAGATTCGTGTAGCGAATAACTACTCACTTTTTTATAGTCAGGTGTCTTGTTATTAACTACAATTAATTTTGTAATCACTAGAACAATGTAAGCATTACCTAGATTTGTGTGGAGAATAGCTACTCATTTTTCATAGTCAGGTATCTTATTATTGTCAGGTACCTTATTATTAACTACAACTAATTTTGTAATCACTAGAACAGTGTAAGCGTTACCTATATTTGTTTAGAGAATAACTACTCACTTTTACTTAGTCAAAGGCAAAATTGTCAATTCGCCTTAATTTCACAAATGACAGATTGGGTCAATGACCCATTCTGTCATTTTCGAAATTTAAGGACCCAATCTGAGATTTTGTATATTCCAAAGGCTTTTTCTGGGATTTTCCCATAAAAATTTATATTTTTCACCAAAAAAATAAAAATTTATACTTCTTTCAATCCTAGACATAGAAACTAAATAATTAACTTGTAAAGATTAAGAAGGTTATTCAGAAAAGTATTCTATTCAATTATTTGTATTAAAACTACTTTTATGCAGATTTCTTCTTATGTGTAGCTAATAAGAACTAAAGTAATTTCCCTAACTGGCTGTAAATTTAGCAATGGATTACAGTGTAATAATAATAATAATATATATAAATATGTGTGTGTAGTTGTAGTATTTGATTATTTATAAACGAGAATATACACATGTGTATATATATATACATATATATATATATATATAGGATTATAGGAGGTAAGGAACACAGACACACACCTGTGGCAGAGGAAAGCTGAGAACATTGGGAAGAAGAGCAAGGGATGTTAGAATAGGAAGATGAGTGCGAAGGATCGAAGATAGTATCATTCTGAGTATAGCAGGAGCCATCGCATGGGAGACACTGAGTCCAAGTGAGGTCACTTCCGGTGTCAAATATCAGCGACAACTCCCTCGCCGGCGTTCCCAACCCTACCCTCACGAAGTAGTCCCCCGACCCTAGAATCTTCCCTGACCTTGCCGGAAGCGGAGCCTCAGCCGGAGCCGCCACCTGGCCCGACACCTCTGACGTCGCCGACCTCCCATCTCCTTCTCTTGCTTCACTCTGCCCTTCCCACAGCTTGGACTGGATTGCTCTCACCCTCGCTTTGTCCTGCCCCAGTATTTCACTGTGTGGGACTGTTAATGGAGCTTTCACTGACGAGGACGTGTGTTGCTTCATCAGTTTGGAGCATGGCCCGTGCTTGTGTACCACTTCTAACGATCCCTTTCTGCTTCTACCTATTCGTCGCATCAAAATATAACATATATTGAATGCGTTATCGTGCATGTGCAGGAATATTATATTCTATATATTATAACACAGAGTGAGATCGAGATGCATGGAGGAGAAAGAACCTGGAGGAAGAGAGCTGCAGGAGGAAGAAGGGAAGAGAGAGCTGAGAGGAATGTGATGATGAGTATGCTGAAGCTCACTGTACTCTTTCCTTGTTATTGCAGAAACAAAGGGTTTGTTCTCAACGAAGAAGAAGAAGAAGCAAACCAGAGAAATAAAAGCAAAGAAGAAGGGATTAGAAGAATTAGCAGAAGCCATAGAAAGAAGACAGATTTATTTCTGTGTTTCTGGAGGCCGCACGGATACGCTCAAGTGTCGGGATGGTTGGCCTTTATATGGGCTATAAATTCCACAACTCGGTTTTACATTACCAATAGAAAACAGCCAAATAGGCCAACAAGGCTCAAACAATCCTTCTTGTATCAAACATTACAACCTAAGATCTGCGAACTCCCCTATGATTTCTTCTCCGAGGCATAAGATATCTTAATTGGGATCAACGACCTTCAAGATTTAATTTCTTTTTTAACATACGCAAGGCTCATGTGTGGTGCATAAAACCAAATAGTAGTAGTATATAGGATAGAAAAAAGAAAGCCAGACGGTGGGGTGGAGCATATTCTACTTTGGCTTTTCCCACGTAGTCCTATGCAATTATGAGTCTCCCTCTCTCTCTCTCTGTACGTGGAGAGATAGAGAGAAAAAGCATATCTCATCTTCAACTTTTTCAAAGATTACAAGTTACAGCCTATGAATCTTCATACTCCCCGATCATTAATATATTCTTCTCCAATGCATTCGATGCGCCCTTCTGTCTCTAATATAGAAGTTAATTAAAGGGTTGGATTTGATTACAAATATAAGAACTAAATTCATTTTATCTTCTACATTTATATTTATTTTCCCAAACTAAGACTACTTGCCTCCGGTTTTTAATATAAAATGTAGTTTATAATTTAAATTAAACTGCAAATTAAATCTTATGTCAAAAATCAAAGACAGCATACATATAAATATTTTAGAGGTATCATATCAAATTTATTATAATCAACTAATTTATCTAATTTTTTAATCTTATGTTGAGGTAGTATTTCTTATTTTGGATCAGATGTTCCAGATAGTTTACGTGCGCGTAAAGGATTGATGGTCACCTGGCATTTCCCTTGTTTGGGATTATTAGATTAAATTTATTTATGGCTTCATTTTACCGAAAAGCACTGAATTATGCAAAATCGGAAGATGTTAAATTTAATGATTAGGGAACGAAAAAAAATTACAAAATAGTTAATTTGATTCGGCTGAGAAAGAGCTATATACAAGTGGCGGGAATTTTTTTTTAATATTTGCAATTATCATTCGATAATTTCTAATATTCATTATAGAAATTAAAATATACAGATCATTCAATAACTGTGTGGATTTTTTTTTTTTTTTTGCTAAAGTATAGGTATCTCTTTTTAGAAGTAATCCTATTCGAGGTACTATCAGGCACTACATGTGAGCACTTCTTTCAGCAAAAATTTGAACCTTGATTTGTCACTTTGTGAGGGATTAATCTCTTTCGCTAGACCCAATTGTGTTGATATAACTATGAGGATTTGATTTATGAGTTTTTATATATAGGCACCAATTTTTTACCCAAAAAAAAAAAAAAAGATGCAAAATATAAGGGGTGAAAACCTGACTTTTCAAAAGGAGGACTTTTCTTATCTTAAAACATCCCGCACATATATCATGGTGGGTCTGGGCACTAAATTTAAGAACACAAAGTTGGTTTCATAACATACAACTTAAGTGTTGCTGTGGAGGTTCAATTTTCGGAAGCATTACCATATTAAGGAAGCTGAATCCAGAGTTGCGGTGTTTCATGATGATATGTTTGTCTAGACTTACGTAAAATGTGTTTATAAATTGTTGTAAATATGATTTTAAATCGAGCCATTATTCGCTTATCCCAATCCTTCAATACCTTAGGGATAGTACTCTCTAGCGAACTTCACCCTAAATTACTATCTCCAGTATCTAGGTCTCTTCATCCTAATGTAATTTCTTATTGTAAGAAGAAGAAAAAAGTTAAGTGAAAAGCATTAGAATGAGAAGTGGGAGGTGACCCAAATGCCTAAGCAACTGAAACGAATCCGAGCCGCTGGCAAAAGTGAAACCTGAGCCGTTAATTTTTCTTCAGACTTTAATTAGAACATGCAATCCGCCAACTAGTGTCTTCGACAGAAGTAGTGAGTATATATAGTCTCTACCATTTTATATCCGTATATATAAATATATACTCCTCCGGTCCTTATTATAAGACCCAATTTGACTTTTTATTTGGTCCTAATTATAAAACCCAATCCATTTTGTCTCTTATATTTATGCATTTTTTTCCAAGATAATCCTTCTAATAATGATAGTTTTAGCCAATATACTTAATTAGCAAGGATATTTTAGGAATGACAACACTTATTTATTATAAATAACCAACTTAACTTACTTCCTTAATCTCCTCAAATAAGTCAATTGGGTCTTATAATTAGGACCGGAGGAGTATCTGTATATGCTTGATTCTAAAACCTGGGGGAAACTTACTGTTTTTTTGCCCTTGAGTTAAGACTCTGAAATATATATCAGCATCAGATCAGACAAGGCAGCTGCATTACATTGGTGTGGGTGTGGGCAGGTAATGTTTAAATAAATATGTTTTAATACTATTCAACTAAGTAATAAGTCTGGTTTGGGGGGCTGAAGGCTGGTTTGCAAAAATTAGATTGTTCTTATTCTAAATTCTCCTCGATTAAACTTCATCAAATTCAAGATACACTCCCAAACCAGACTTGAAATATATAGCAAGTTTGAGAAAACTTGTCTGTGAAAATAAAAACCAATAGATCACATGGAAAATAAATAAATAGACACAAGCCAAACGCCAATATATATAATATATACCACATCTTGTCCTTAATAAAAGACCAAATTAAGTAACTTGGGTAAGATATGGCTGACTAATTAAAAAAAATAAATAAAGAAGTTGTTAAATTATTATAAACTATTTATATTTATGATTTTTCCTCAATCAAATTTGTTTCACTCATAAATTGACATATAATATAATAATCCACTCAAATATTTTAGGGATATCATATATGTTGTAATTAAATAATTTAATAATTTTTTAAATCTATTCAAATTAGTCAATTGAGTCTTATATTAGAGACTGGAGATAGTATAAACCTTTGATCTATTAATTTTTATTTCTTGATACTTTTGCTTTTAAGCAAGCAATTATTAACTACTTAGTAGTTACACCCAGACATGGTTTCTGATCTACGGCCGAACAAAAGAAACACAATTCGGCTGTTTCAGTGTTTCCATTGTTTTCTTTATTTTTTGAACAGTCGACATTACTTTATCTTGCATATTTTAAAATTCAAGGAAAAAGTAAAATGTACAAAAAAAATATAAAGTAAATCTGAACCGCCCAAATTAAATTTGGACGATAGAGATTTGCTGCTGAAACGCCAGCAACGAACTTGCTGTCTCCGGGGCAACTAGCGGGTCTGAACCCAATCCTACCACCATCAACGTCGTACACTACCTCCATTGTTCTCTGTTGAACATTTCCAATTACAGCAACAAACCTCTCATCTGGATTCGCAGCAAACGCCAAACACACCTGCGTTTCCCTCACTGCATACACAACCCCACTTGCGTCCAACTCCACGTTCACGCCACCTCCAAACGACAATGTCACCTTTGGAACGACAACAGTTTCGTACCCACTCAAGTCGTAACACGTGTCCATCTTATTAGCCGAACCTGCCATCGGGTACCTCGACATCGCTTTCCGGAACGCGTCTCTAAGGGGGCCGTACGCCGCCGGAGGTAGCCATGTGAGGACTGTACCGGAGTCGATTATCACGCCGACAGAGGAGAACACGGAGGAGGGGATTGAGAGACTGGAGCCGGCGAGGGAGATCCCGGTGAGGTCGAGTGCGTAGAAGGAGGAGCTCTGCGGGATGGAAGAAAACGGCGTGTAAGTGATGTTATCGGAGGCGGGTATGCCGCCGAAGGTGAGGTAGCCAACGTCGCTGGCAGTGGAGGGGATGCAATAGGAGAAGATTCTGTGGAACACGTCGGAAGTTTGTTGGACCAAGGAGATGGGGCTGCGGCCGAGGCCGAGGATGCCGGCGGTGCCATTCCAGAAATGACCCTTGTTGTCATGTCCGCAGCCGAAGAAGAAGTTGTCGACGACTTGGGTGGGAGTAATTGTTAGCGTCTCCTTGGCGAAGTTCCCAAGGGAGGAGGATTTGCTACTGTATGAAACAAAGTAACGGCAGGTTGATTCGGAGCATTGCGCCTTATGACCTGCACGCATGTTATTATATTATCAACTATTGAGAGTGAATTTTACTGTCATTCGGATTAAATTTTTACAAATAATTTTACTTCCTATGATATAAATTATCTGTGACTGTGATGACGTATGTTATTTTGGGAATCTTATAATAATGTTACCAAATTTTCTAAAATATATTCTTGTACTCAAATATAAAAGATAATACATAGGAATTATATAACTAATTAATTAAGTTAGTCGTTTATAAAAAAATATATTTATTTTTAAAAAAATACTCTATGTAATCAACTATCTTTTGATAAAAAAATTCTTATATGCCATAACTATAAATAGTTTAGAGAAAAAATTATAAATCCAAGAAACAAAATTAGTCGATATCTTTTATTGAAGATCAAAGTAAATTTTCGAACTAATTTAACTCCCATATTTAGCATTAAAAAGAGTAGTTTATATAAGTGTAGAAAAATTTTAATGAGTTATAAAATAAAAATTTATAATAAACTTGGCTGTATACATGCGATAGACATAGGTGAGGATCCGAATATACCTAGACAAAGCACGTACCTGTAGCAGAGGAAAGCTGAGAACATTGGGAAGAAGGGCAAGGGATATCAGAATAGGAAGATGAGTTTGAAGGATCGAAGATGGGATCATTCTGAGTGTAGCAGAAGTCAGTGGAGCTATTGCATGGAAGACACTGGGTCCAAGTGAGGTCACTTCCGGTGTCAAATATCAGCGACAACTCCCTCGCCGGCGTTCCCAACCCGACCCTCACGAAGTATTCTCTCGACCCTATAATCTCCCCTGACCTTGCCGGAAGCGGAGCCTCCGCCGGAGGCGCTATCTGCTCCGATGACTCTGACGTCGTCAACACCCCATCTCCTCCTCTTGCTGCACGCTGCTCTTC